CTCCCCAGGAGAGAACTTGGCCAGTTGCCTCCAGGCACAGGCTGAGGATGTGGCGGCAGCCGCAGAGGCAGCCAGGGCTGCGTTGGAGAACTGGAGCGGACTCCCCGGAGCCTCTCGGGCCAAGCACCTGACCAGGTGATGCAGTTGAGGTGTGGACCCAGCGAGTGGGGGAAGGACTGAGAACAAAGACTCTGGCTCCCAACATCCCACGGAATTCATTGGCCGCTAAGGTTCATGTTCCCAGCATGCCTCTTGGCCTTTAGTCCCATCTATGGGGACTAGTAATTACAAAACCTCTATTTCCCCCCGAAAGAATATCCTTGGGGCTCATCGGGACTGGTGGAGCCCCAAAGTCCACTTCCCAGCACCCTCCTGGGGCAGCTAGAGACAGAGATCAGAGATTCCATTTCCCAAAATGTATGAGGTTAGAGGTGAGCCCCAGCTACTCCAGGGTTATAGGTGGCCAAAATCTTTGCACAGCAGCCTCAGGATTTGTTTCCTGGACTACATTTCCCATAAATCTCTAGTGTTCTCTCCCCCTGGTAAATGGGGATGTCCCAGGGGTTCATGGGGAATATTGTAGTCTAGGAAATGGGGTGTGTTTCAGGACCCTTTCAGGCTGAGGGGCACCGGGAAATGACCGGCCCCCTTGCTTTCTGCACAGGCTGGCCAAGATGATCCAGAAGCACCAGCGGCTGCTGTGGACCCTGGAGTCCCTGGTTACTGGGCGGGCTGTTCGAGAGGTTCGAGACAGGGATGTCCCGCTGGCCCAGCAGCTGCTCCAGTACCATGCAATTCAGGCACACATCCAGGAGGAGGCGCTGGCAGGCTGGGAACCCATGGGTGAGAAGCATGAGTCCGGGCCCCCAGCCCCCTCCTCCATCAGGGCCCACCAGTGCCTGTCCCAGTCACCTCATTTGTTCTTGCAGGAGTAATTGGTCTCATCTTGCCACCCACATTCTCCTTCCTGGAGATGATGTGGAGAATTTGCCCCGCCCTGGCTGTGGGTAAGTGATGGGCTGGGGGCCTGGACCCCTGGGTCTGAGGGAGGAGGGGCTGGGGGCCTGGACCCCTGGGTCTGAGGGAGGAGGGGCTGGGGGCCTGGACCCCTGGGTCTGAGGGAGGAGGCCTGGGGTCTGAGGGAGCAGGGGCTGGGGGCCCGGACCCCTGGGTCTGAGGGAGCAGGGGCTGGGGGCCTGGACTCTTGAGTTTTTGAGTTGCCCGCCTTCCCCAGGCTGCACTGTGGTGGTCCTCGTGCCCCCGGCCTCCCCAACGCCCCTCCTCCTGGCCCAGCTGGCAGGGGAACTGGGCCACTTCCCAGGAATCCTCAACGTGATCAGTGGCCCTGCCTCCCTGGGGCCTGTCCTGGCCTCCCAGCCCGGGGTCCAGAAGGTGGCCTTCTGCGGAGCCATCGAGGTACCTTCAGGGCGAGGAGGGCGACAGGGCGGGGCTGGGGTCCAGAAGGCTTTCCCCCCTCTGAGCCCCGTGGGGTGTGGGGTTCCCTCAGGAAGGACGTGTCCTTCGGCGGACCCTGGCGGGCGTGGGTCCCGAGCTGGGCCTGGCGCTGGGGACCGAATCGCTGCTGCTGCTGACGGAGGCGGCAGATGTGGACTCGGCCGTGGAGGGCGTCGTGGACGCAGCCTGGTCGGACCGCAGCCCGGTGAGACCCTCGCGCCGGTGTCCGCTGATGTCCTGAGGGCCATGCCTGTCTGTCTCCAGACCTCGGGGCTCCGTCTCTGTTCAGTTTTCAGTCCTTGGTGTCTTCACACCATCGCGCGTGTGGACTCATCACCTCTGATTTCCCGATCTCCCTGCCCGGCTCTCCTGGTCTTTCAGGGCCCGGTCTGTCTCTTGCTCCCTAGGACCCCTCACTGTTCTGAGCGTTCATGCCCCTGGTTTCCCAACCTCTGTCTTTACTCTGAATGACCAGCTTTCTGGAACTCCACCTTCTGCCTGGGGTCCTGGGCCTCAGCGAGTCTCCAGGGTCCTTGGCCACTTCTCCCTGACCCTCCTTGGATCTCTGCATGTGTGTCCCCGAGTCTCAGCCCTCCATGGGGGCCTGTCCCCCGACATGGCCCCTGACATCCCTTTCCCTAACAGGGGGGCCTCAGGCTTCTCGTCCAGGAGTCGGTGTGGGACGAGGCGATGAGGCGGCTCCAGGTG